AACCAAGAGATGACAGGACAAATGTTAGAAGAGACTGGTAACACCGATATAGTTAATTGTAAACTTAAGGTGAAAACAAGTGAACATATAGCTGACAGAAGGAACTGTAACTTACATACTCGAACACTGCAGGGATCATAATACATACAAATAAATGAAATGACAGGAGTAGAGAACATAAAAGTAGAATGAACTCACTGATTGCACCATATAGTAAGACAGCCAGAGTTGAAAGTCAAGTAATAAAAATTTAAGCAAAATTATAAAGAATAAAATAATGCTACAATGGCTAAAACTAACTAATAAAGGAGAGGGGGGAAAGAAGAGAATGAAGCTAATATAATTGTAAATTATTAAGGAAAACAAAAGACACTGCTTTAAAAAAGAAGTATTACTTGAAGTTATAAGTATAAAGGTAACCCACTGATGGGGAAAAGAAAACCTTCCTAATACCAAAACTATCAATTAAAATGCACAAAACACACCACTTAAAAAAACATATATAATAAAAGATATAAAATAATCTGACACAAAGATGAAACATGTATGTTATACCTATCTATCTATCTGGCACAACTGATCCATTCACTAACAGAAAGCTTTGGACTGACCCACAAAGTAAAACCACTCTATGCTGTGGCCAAGATGTATTTGTAATTTAGGAAATACAATAAAATTTAAAGGAAATTAAAAAAACAAATGGATAGGAGAGATTCACAAAAACATGAATTGTCATCCTTTATTTGGATAATGTAAATAGACTCTGGCTCAAAAGTATTAAAAAAAATCATTTTACCATTGTAAAAGATACAACTCACAATGAAGAAAACAGGTATGTGTATGTTCCCAAGAAGATGGCAGCAACATTAAAAAAGGAGAAATGATAGGAGATAAAAGGAGAAATACACAGAAACCGAATAATAATAGGAAATTTAAATTTATTTCTACCAGTCTGAGAAAACAAATAGACAAAAATAAATAAGGAAATAAATGATCTGAACAACATAATCAAAATGGTAGGGCAGATGGATATTCATTTAACACTATCAAATAACTGAATATACCATATTTTTAAAGATTACTGAATTTTGTAAAAACTGACCAACTATTAGGCTACAAAAATATCTCAACAAATTCTAAAAGTAGACATAGAAAACATTCTCTGATTAACTAACACAAAAGAATGAGAAATTTATAACAAATTAGAAAAAAAGAGATCTCCAATCTGAAAAATTAGAAAGTCTCTCAAACAACATTGGGTAATAGGGAAAATACAAATAAAATTTGTGCTGTTTCTATAAAATATAATAAAAATACTACATATTAGAAGCTTTGGAATATAGCTAAGATAGTGATGAGAAGAAAATTCAGTTTTAAATACTTTTATCAATAAAAAAAAATGAAAGTAAATGAGTTACTAATATAATTCCAAAAGTTAGAAAAACAACTAAATTAAGTAAAGAAAAGTCGAGGAAAAAAAAAGCTGAAAGCAGAAATTAAGAAGGTAAAAACCAGAAAGCCAGGGGAAAAAAAAAATTCAAAATCTCTTTAGCTGAGGGCAGGGGAAGGGGGTAAGTCATCTGATTAAACTACTACTCCTAATCAAGAGCAAAAATTAAAAGGACAAAGAAAAGCATACAAAATAAGAAATGAGGGTAAACCACAGAACTAGACAAAAATTTAAAATACAAGATACTTTATAAAACTCCATACAAATATAGATAGAATAATTTTCTAGTAAGATACAACCTACCAAAATTGAACCCAGAGAGCCTAAACAGACTGACTTGCACAAAATAAATGAAGTTTTAAAAGAACTACCTACTACCAAACAAAATACATGGGCCCCAACAGTTTACAGGGAAATTCTACCAAATCTTAAAAGATTTGATAATTTCAATACTGTTTAAAAACTGTTGTACATTTAAAAAAAACAGAAAACTTTTAAATTTTTAATGAAATGTAACATTAATACCAAAACGTGAAAAAGACTGCCCCCAAAAAGAGAAGATTGCAGATCAGATCCATTTTACTTTAAAAGAAGTACTAACAGACTTCACACATTAAACCCCAGAAACATTAGTTTAGCTCAGTATTTGTTATAAAAAGAGAAATATCATATCATTAGCTCCCTAAGTATTAATTTATGGAGAAAATTCAACATCCATTTCTAATTAAAAGTACTTAATAGGAAGCAACAGATGCTCTTATGCATATATGTATGCATAATGGATATGCATTATACCTAATGTAGAAATACAGAAGTATTCTTTCTAAAGTTAGAAATAAAAAGATTCCTATTAACCACTAATGTTTAACACTGCCCTAATTGGTCAATATAACCTGTTACGAAGTATAAAGATCCAAAGGAGGAGGTAAATCTATCACTATCTTAGATGAAATGATTATAACTAGACCCTCCAAGAAAATCACTTAAAAGGCTACTATAATCAATAATGGAATTCAATGAGGCAGAGAGAAATGTTAGTATACAGAAATCAAAAGCCTTCATGTATATAAACAATAACCAGTTAGACCTATAAATGCATTTAACAGCAAAAATAAGGGAGAAAATATCAGAAATGTATAAATTTTATGTGAAGGATACTTTAAAACATTTCTAAGGAAACAAAAGCAATCTTGAATGAATGGAATGGTATAGTATTTTCTTTGACAGAAAGATTCAGTATTTTAAAGATGACAGTTTGTCCTAACTTAATTTATTAATATTAGATCTCAATAAAAATAACAGCCCCTTCTGCCACACCCACCGGATCTAAATAAGGTGTTTCTAACACTTACGTGGTGAAATAAATAAGAATGGCCTAGAAAAACCTGAAACAAAAAATTAGACTAGTTCTATTAGATACTATAAGTCAAAAAAGAAACTATTGATCACTTTTAAGTATGTGTGTTTACACACACACACACACACACACACACACACAGGGATAAATTTCTATGGGGCAAAAACAAAAACAAGACGGCATCAAAGGCTTTTAAAAGACAAGTAACAACCAACGGATACTTATGTAATTCACATCACAGAAAAAGGGCTAATCTCTTAGAAAGCACTGTCAGTAAATGAAAAGACCAAATATCCAACAGAAAAAAAAAATGGGCAAAGGACATAAACAGTTAACAGAAAAAAAAAGGTGCCCCTTATGTATGTGAAAAGATGGTCAAATGGAAAATAAAAGCACATAGTGAAACTAATTCTTGTGAATCTGACTGACAAAAATAATAGACTGACACCTACAGAGGCAAAGGCATAAGGAAATAGGTAGCCTCAATCATTGATGTAAAATAATATTTATAACCTTGGTGGAGGGCAATCTGGCAATAGCAATCAAAATTATAAATATGTCTGCCCCTGACCCATCAATTTCACTCCTTGGAATTTATCTTAAAGAAACACCTACATATATATGAAATGATGTTCTGAACTGGGATACACTTAAAAACTGTCCTAGCACATTTAAAGGAGACTTTTGAAATACATCCCCCCAATAACACATCTCCACAATGGCAGATGCAGCTGAAAATAATGAGGAAACTATGTTCTCATTAGAAAGACCCAGGGATCCTTGGAGTAATGGCTGATTCCAGGTACAGGGTAAGAAAAATAAGATGAGCCTGGGACATCCTGCTGTGCCAGAAAGCAAGACAGCTATCAAAGACTAATGAATTATCAATAGGACATTGTGATTTTTCCACATAAGAATTCCATCTAATGTAAAAGGAGTAACAGAATTAGAAAAAATACCAGTTGATAATCCCTAGTAAACTAAGTGATTCAGGTAACAGTGATCAATGAATGGAGTATCAGAAATTGAAAGGTTGACTGTGAAATTTTAATTGAGAAATTTTAATGGAGGCCTACTGATCTCTGAACATACTAATCAATCTTAGTATCATTAAAAAATGGGGCCATTAAATTCTGTGCGCCTAATATGATAAAAATATGAAGCACTTACAAAGTACTTTGATCCATAATTGAATGAAGCCTCCAGGGCCAACTTTCACTTTCAGGAAATAAAGGGGATAGAGGAACAAAGTAATGGCACCACAAGAAAACAACAAACCCGGGTTTTTGGATATTCTACAGGACAACTGACAAGAAGCCATTGGCATAAAAAAAAAAAAAAAAGGAAAACCAAACAAAATAAAACTAGAGGGAAGGAAATGGGACTACAACATTAAAAAAAGGCATAAGAGCCAAATGTAAGGTGTGAATCTTGTCTAGACACTGATTAGAACCAACAAACTATAAAAAGATATTTGAAACAATTAGGGAAATCTGATTATAGACAGGATAGTATAGACTACAAATAAGTGATTATTTTCAATTTTCTTATATATGGCAGGGGCATTCTGACTGTGGAAGAAAACATTCATATTTTTAGAAGTACGTACTGAATTAGTAGGGACAAGATAACATTCTAGGGTTTGACTTTAAACTACTACAGTAGAGGCAGAAATGGAGAGTGTTTGAGTAAAGACAGAAAAAAATACTGACAATTTGGATAATGGCTATATAGGTGGCAATTTATCATACTATTCTCTCTATTTTTACATAAGCTCAAAAATCTAAGAGAACACCTAAAAACGGATACAATTAGCTCCACATTATGCATCAGCAGTAGGCATAATGCTAGGGGTCATAACAACCAAAAGACTTTTCTTCCTGTAAAACATATATTTTATAATGAAATAATGACTTATGGTTACAAGAGCAAAAGTGAGTTATAACACAAGATTGCTCTGCTAATCATGTCAAAGCTTTTTTATTTGCTTTCATAGCAAACCAGGACAAGTTCTGTGTAAAGGTCTTCTAAATGAAATGTATTATAAATAGAAAGGTTTTCCAGTTTGTCTTAATACTACTTCAAGACACCAGTACATGTAATTGAACATAAAATGCACACATACATATTACATACAAACAAGCCTTACAGAAATGAACTGCTTAATACAGAATTTGGTTTTAGTTCCCTTACCATCAATATTAAGCATCATTTTCCACATGGCAGGCCGAACAGATTGATGGAATCCAAACCATACTTCCCTGCCCCCTCCCAGAGGGTGGTCATAACCTTCTGGAGCTGAGAAAAAGGATCGCCCCACAGGTGTATATCTACAAAAAACAAAATAGCATGTTCAATCCTTCCTTCCTGTGTAAGTATTTAAATCTGCAGAACAGGTGACTCTACAGCACATAATCTACACTATCATAATGATGCTTATCATCATGAATATATGAAACTAAACGTTTTCCAATTTGTGAAAGCAAAACAGCAGCTATTCTAAATGGAAAAAGCCAGCATCCTTCACTGAAATTCTCTATTGTTACAACTAATGTTAGTTTGAATAAAAATAAATTTTATTCAAAATACTTGCTTAAAAAGTAAAAATACTTTCTTAAAAAATAAAAATTTATTTAAAATACTTTCTATTTCTTAAAAATAGATTTTAAAAATTAACAGTTCCAATCTTAGAAAATGCTATAGTAAATAATCATTGATCAAAAAGCTATTTCTATAAATGTGTTTGTAAGGCATACTTTCTTTAAAAAGACACAGCTTATCTGATCCTGTATATATAAGCACAGATACACACATACACACGTGAGGTGCTAGTGTGATAAACCGAACAGCCATTTTAACACAATTTGACACTACTCTATTAACAATGAAATTACCTTTAAAACAAGGTGATTTAACTATAGGAATATATCTAAAAATTCATCAGTTACTCAAGACGTATAGCTCCTAGGAGAATGGGTTAGACATTTCTCTAAAAATTATCCATTAAAATAGCTAAATTTACCCTGGCTGGTGTGGCTCAGTGGATTGAGTGCTGGCCTGTGAACCAAAGGGTCACTGGTTCAATTCCCAGTCAGGGCACATGCCTGGGTTGCAGGCCATGCCCCTGATAGAGGGTGCAGAAGAGGCAACCACATGTTGATGTTGCTCTCCCTCCTCGCTCCTCAAAAAAAAAAAAAAAAGGGGGGGGGGGGCAAGACAAACTACTATATTTTTCAGACCATAAGACGCACCTAGGTTTTAGAGAAAAATAGGAAAAAAATTTTGAAGCAAAAAATGTGGTAAAATATTTAATAACGTAAATAACATAACATTTCACCAATGTAAATATAAACAGAACTCAACAGCAGCATTAACAACCATTATTCTTCCCAAATTCTAGGGAGGGGGGAAGGCATCTTATACTCTGAAAAATACGGTAGTAAGGCATATTTACTGTCAAAAGTCAGAATTTTCTCTTACATCTGTCAATGAACTTGTATACATGCTATTCTTCAATTGAAATAATCAAAATATACAACATCTGAAGGTTAACCAAAGGAGGCCTGAACAACTCTTGGGAGGAAAGCCTTCACATTTAAAATCTAAAGATAATAAATAAGCCAAAGGACCCACTTCATGGAGGGCAGATGTCGTAGCACCACATCAACAGCATGGACAGGATTAGTGCTGATTGGCTTGTCTAATTCCAGTGGCTCAGGCAAGGTCCGTCCTGTCAGTACTTCATGTAGTAGGTGCCAACTCACCCGAGAGACAAACTTGATTGACACCTTGAAAGGTCGATCTTTTCCACCTTCCCCAGGTAAAGTTACATCTAAATCTACCTGTTGACAGGAAAAGATTTATCTGGTAAAAGTTGAAAAGGACAAATACAATTATTTTTAAGTTTAACTTATAAAAATATTTAAGAGAAAAGGCAAATATAATTTAAAAACCCAATCCAAATGTTAAATCAATAGACTAAAATTTAAATGAGTTATTTATGCCAGAATTATTTGTCATTGGAAACTGCCTAAATGCCCAAACATTTGGGTAGCTATAAAAAAATGATGAGGAAATGTCTTGGAGTTGTTACGGAATGACTTCCAAGCTAAACTGTTAAGTGAAAAAAAGCAAAGTATAGAAGATTACAAATAGTATGTCATCTTTTATGTGAGAAAGAAGGGGAAAATGGAATAATCTTTATGTATCTGCTTATTTATGTAAAAAGAAACACAGGATGCATAAACCAGAAACAAATAAATTGGTTACTCTGAAAGGATGGGAAGAAACAAACTGAAAGAAATAAAAGAGGAATTACAATTCAGAGTGTATTTTTCAGTATAGTTTTTACTTTTGAAAGCATGTTAAAGTTCTATATATTAAAAATTAAAAATAAAATCAACAAGGCTGGAGGAAAAAAGACTAAAACTTAATATAAACAAAATCAAATGAAACCAAATGCATTTTAAACGAATAATATACCACACCAAAGGAGAGAAAGCAAGAAAGACAATACTAATTCAAGTAACTTAAAAAAAAAAAAAAAAAAAGATTTTACTTATTTATTTTTAGGAAGAGGGGAAGGGAAGGAGAAAGAGAGGGAGAGAAACATCATTGAGTGAGAGACATATTGATTGGTTGCCTCTTGCAGACCCCAGCTGGGGACCTGGCCTGCAATCCAAGCATATACCCTGACTGGGAATCGAGCCAGCAACCTATTGGTTTGCAGGCCAGGATTCAATCCACTGAGCCACACCAGCCATGGCCAATCCAAGTAACTATTGAATACAGTATACTGACTCTACTCTCAGTTGGGAGTTTGGAGGAGGGGTGAATAGGAAAGAACGGCCTGCAAAATAAAACTCTGAACTCTTATTACTAGATTTGTTTTCTGCAGTAGTATGGTATAGTAATTCAGATACTGTTTTATATGTACTGTAGGACTGAACACACAAGTAAAAGCACTGATGTTTTGGGGGGCTAGGGGAGTAAAGAAGATTCAAATATTTATTTATTTTTAAATATTTTTATTTTTTTATTTTTAGAGAGGGGAGGGAGAGAAACATCAATGTGTAACTGTCTCTCGAGTGCCCCCTACTGGGGACCTGGCCCACAACAAGGCATGTGACCTAGATTGGGAATCGAACCAGTGACCCTTTGATTCAGAGATTGGCGCTCAATCCACTGAGCCACACCAGCTAGGGCAGAACATTCAAATATTTAATGTGAAGAATTAAGGAAGGATCCTGTGAGGATAGACTAGAACTGGAAGAACCAATTGGAAGTCATGATTTCCAACATACAACAGACTGTATGTTATATACAAATAGTGGTACTTGCAGGATACCTAAGTTAGGTTTACCGTCTGCCATGTAATATTTATTACTGTCTGTTAGTTGTATCTAAGTATGTATGTATATATGTATGTATTCCTACCTCTGTCCACTGAAAGGGCCTGGAAGCACATATACCCCAGTAGCAATGAACACATGCAGTAAACCAGATTTTGGTTTCTAAACTGCATTCCCCAACTAAAAGAAACCAGTCTTCCTTTGAGAAATGGCAGTTGCAAGACTTATGCAGGGAAAAAAAATGAGCCTAGAAAGTCTTGTGCCACAAAGTAAGAAAGTACTCAAAGGGGGAAAAAAAAGGGTTTGTATCACGTCAAAAGGACATAGGAACGAATTTGAGCAGTCAAATTAAATAGAATAAATACACAGAGGAGAAGAAAATCCTCTTCCTTACTATAGAATACCACCTAATAAATGGAGAAGGAATGAGATAATTAAAAAATCACCATTACTATACAGAAATAATTCTTCTGGGCAAGAACCATCAATTATTTAAAAAGTCTATTAAGAAACAAGACTTAGCCCTGGCTGGCGTAGCTCAGTGGATTGAGAGCGGGCTGCGAACCAAAGTATGGCAGGTTCGATCCCCAGTCAGGGCGCATGCCTGGGTTGCAGGCCACGGCCCCCAGCAACTGCACACTGATGTTTCTCTCTCTCTCTCTCCTTCTCCCTCCCTTCCCTCTCTAAAAATAAATAAATAAAATCTTAAAAAAAAAGAAACAAGACTTTTAAAAGTATCACCCATATCAAAATTAAAAACTTCTGTGCATCAAAAGCAACAAAGTGAAAAGGTAACTAATAAAATATGAAGAAATGTTTGCAAATCATATCTGAAAATACATGAATTCCTAAAACTCAACAACCAAACTCAATTAAAAATAAGCAAAAACACTTGAATACAAATTTCTCCAAAGAAAATACACAAATGGCCCATGAGCACAAAAAAGATGCTTAACGCCACCAGTAATTAGGAAAATTTAAATCAAAACCACAATCATGTATCACCTTATGCACATTAGGGTGGCTACTATCAACACATCAGAAAACAAATGTTGACAAAGGTGTAGAGAATCTGGAGACCCTGTGTACTCCATATATTTCCAGGTGGAAATATAAAATGGTGCAGTTGCTATGAAAAGCAGTATAGCGATTTCTCAAAACATTAAAAGTAGAATTACGGGACTTCCGGCCAAGATGGAGGTGTAGGTAGACACACTGTGCCTCCTCGCACAACCAAAATAAGAACAACAATTTAGAAATAAAACAACCAGTACTGACAGAAAACTGAACTGTATGGAAGTCTGACAACCAAGGAGTTAAAGAAGAAACATTCATCCAGACTGGTAGGAGGGGCAGAGTCAGGTGGCCAGGCAGAGATGGGTCACAGCAAAGCAGTAGCTGGTGGACCCGGGCGCACAAAGCAGCGGCTGGTGGACCCGGGTGCACAGGCACCGGGTTGTGGAGAGGTCCCGGGTTGTGGAGGGGCATGGCGCGCATGGCGCACATGGCGGCTGGCGGAGGACCAGGCAGTCCCACATTTGCTGGCAGAGAAACCAGGTGAAACTGGGGACTGAGACGGCTCACGCAACCCAGGGCCCCAGTGAGGGGAAATAAAGCCTCAAAACACCGATTGAAAACACCTGTGGGGGTTCAGGGGACGGGAGAAACTCCCAGCCTCACAGGAGAGTTCGTTGGAGAGACCCACAGGGTCCTAGAATGTGCACAAGCCAACCCATCTGGGAATCAGCACCAAAAGGGCCCAATTTGCTTGTGGGATGCAGGGAACATGACTGAACACCGGCAGAGAGCAGAGAAAGAGCCATTGTTCTCTCTTGGACCCCTTCCCCATATACAGCGTCACAACTAAGCAACTAGGTGGCTCTGCCCCTAGTACGTAACAGGTGCGTCAAAACAAAAAAATAGCCCAAATGAAACAGATCAAAGCTCCAGGAAAAATACAACTAAGCAATGAAGAGATAATCAACCTATCAGATGCACAGTTCAAAGCACTGGTAATCAGAATGCTCACAGAATTGTTTGAATTTGGTTGCAAATTAGATGAAAAAATGAAGGCTACAGTAAATGAAATAAAGGAAAATGCACAGGGAATCAGTAGTGATGGGAAGGAAACTGGGACTCAAATCAATGGAGTGGACCAAAAGGAAGAAAGAAACATCCAATCAGAAAAGAATGAAGAAACAAGAATTTTTAAAAAATGAGGAGAGGCTTAGGAACCTCCAGGACATCTTTAAACGTTCCAACATCCGAATTACAGGGGTACCAAAAGGAGAAGAGAAAGAGCAACAGGTGGAAAAGTTATCTGAACAAATAATAAATGAGAACTTCCCCAATCTGGTAAAGGAAATAGACTTCCAGGAAGTCCAGGAAGCTAAGAGAGTCCCAAAGAAGTTGGACCCAAGGAGGAACATACCAAGGCACATCATAATTACATTAGCCAAGGTAAAAATGAAGGAGAGAATCCTAGAAGCAGCAAAAGATTAAGAGGACAGTTACCTACAAAGGAATTCCCATAAGACTGTCAGCTGATTTCTCAAAAGAGACCTTACAGGCAAAAAAGGGCTGCAAAGAAGTATTCCAAGTCATGAAAGGCAAGGATCTACATCCAAGATTGCTCTATCCAGCAAAGCTTTCATTTAGAATGGAAGGGCAGATAAAGTGCTTCCCAGAGAAGGTCAAGTTAAGGAGTTCATCATCACCAAGCCCTTATTATATGAAATGTTAAAGGGACTTATCTAAGAAAAAGAAGATAAAAAACATGTACAGTGAAATGACAGCAAATTCACAATTATTAACCACCACACCTAAAACAAAAACAAACTAAGCAAATAACTAAAATAGGAACAGAACCACAGAAATGGAGATCACATGGAGGGTTAGCAACAGGGGAGTGGGAGGAGGATAGAAGGGGACAAGGTACGGAGAGTAAATAGCATAGATGGTAGGTAGAAAACGGGGAGGGTAAGAATAGTATGGGAAATGTAGAAGCTAAAGAACTTATGACACATGGACATGAACTAAATGGGGGGAATGCAGGTGGGGGGGTGAAGGGGAATGAAGGGGGAAAATGGGACAACTGTAATAATAATCAATAAACTATATTTTAAAAAAAGTAAATAAAAAATAAAAATAGAATTACTACTTACGTGATCCAGAAACTCCACATTTGGGTGTGTGCACAACAAAACTGAAAGCAGGGACTAAATCACGTATTGCTACAACCATGTTTATGGCAGCATTATTTGCAATAGCCCAAAGGTATCCATCAATGGATGGACAAACAAGAAAATGTGGTGTGTGTATACAAGCACACACACACAATGAAATGTTATTCAGCCTTAAAAAGGCAGGAAAATCCTACACATGTGACAACAAAGATGAACCTTGAGGACACTGTGCTAAGTGAAATAAGCCAGTCACAATAAGAAAATATATATGAGGTAATGGGAGTAGTCAAATTCATAGAGACAGAAAGTAGAATGGTTGCCAGGGAGAGTTAATGTTTAATGGGTACAGAGCCTCAGTTTTACAGGATGAAAAGAATTACGGAGATGGATGGGTGGTGATGGTTGTGAATGTACTTAATGCCACAGAACCGCACTTAAAAATGACTCAGATGGACCTGACCCATGTGGCTCATTTGGTTGGCCATTGTCCCACAAAGCTAAAGGTCACTGGTTCGATTCCCAGGTAGGGCACATGCCTTGGTTGTGGGTTCCTAGTTGGGGCACCTGTGAGGGGTAACCAAATGATGTTTCCCTCTACCAACTGGTATTTCTCTCCCTCTCTTTCTCCCTCCTTTCCCCTCTCTCTAAAAATAAATAAATACAATCTTTTAAAAAAAGACTAAAAAGGAAAATATGTAGGACATTAAAAAGTGCTAAGAGCTTTTTCTAAAAGGCTCGAATAGTAAATTTTATGTTGTGTATTTTACCACAATTTCTAAAAAAGTTATCTCCCCACAAGAGCAAGGAGAAAAAGTAACTTGACAGGAGAAACCTGGCAGATACCAACTTAACCAAGCGATCCAAGTTAACATCACCATTAATGGAAGAAATACATACTATGTGCTTCTTGATATGATACACTGAAAAGGAAAGAACACATGTAATATTTCTGCCAAAAATGCTTGATCAGTATCTAATAAAGAGGAAGCATCAGATAAACTCAGTCTGAGGGACAGTCTAAAAAATAACTTGCCTGCCATCTTCAACCATGTTAATGTCATGAAAGAAAGAAGAAAAAAAAAAAGGATGGGGAACTGTTCCAGAACAAAGACAACCAGAAAGACATGATATGTAAATAAAAATATAAACTAGGGCTTGATTCTGTATTAAAGGGAAAAAATGCTAAAGGACATAATTGGGACAAATGATAAAATTGGAATACAGGTTGTTGATTAAAGTATCATATATCACTGCAAAACTTAGTGAACTTGATAACTAACTGTACTATGGTTTTTATATTTGTTCTTAGGGAATACACATTAAAAAGCACAGTACATGCAACCTACTCTTGAATGGTCCAGAAAAAATAAGTATGTATATGTATAGATATAGCTGTATCTATTAGATACAGAGACAGCAAAGGGGAGAAAGAAAGAATATTTAAACAAATGTGGCAAATATTAAGAACACTGGTGAGTCTTGGTAAAGGATACATACGAGTTCTCTACATAATTCTTACAAGTTTCAATAGGTTTGAAATTATTTCAAAATAAAAGTTAAAAAAGATAAATGATATATGTGCTGTAATAAAATAAAATGATAATAAGTGCATTTAAAAGGAGACACTGAAAAAACATAGCTTTCCAAAAAAGGAACATATATCTTACCCCAGTAGTTGCCACAGGAAGTGGATTGGCTGTGTAAAGGCTTCTTTTTCCATCATAAACTGGTCTACGATCCCCAAATATAGTTACTTTAAAATGCTGAACCATTGAGTCAACCACCTCCCTAAAAAAGGGAATACATTCACATAATCCTCTATATGATGAAATTTTAAAAAATTTAGCTACAGTAATTTCTTACATTATTTAAAGCTATCAAAATTCTAAAAGACAATCATACAGGATAAAGTTTTTGTTTTCAGAACTATGGCTTAGGATACCAGAAAGGGATGATCTGAACTTCACAAAAACAGAAAAGAGTGAATTCAGGGAATTACTTAATTGTTCTGGATCACAGTTGACTTGGGAAATACTAACCTCAGAAACTGATCCAAGATCCCTTTCACCATCACCTGGCTCATCCACCTCTCTTTGTCAGAGTTTGTGTGCTCAAATAGCAACCAGTACATACATCTATGGGAACACTTACTCCATGGTATTATAGTTATTATATATTTCACTTCTACTAGATTGTGAGATTCTTGACATCAATAAACACACCTGTACCTCACACCACCCCTAACCTTTTACCCCCCACTCCCCCAACTTTTACCATAGTAATTAGCTAGTAAGGATATTTTGAAACCTCCGTTTTTACCCAGCAAACATTTTTATCCCACATATTTACATGGAGACATATTCAAGACATACATTTTTTAAAAGTATAGACTACAGAGAGAATTACCAAATATCCAATAGTCAATATTTATTTTTGTACACATTCTTTGTAAAAGCAGTGGAAAGATATCTAGAAGGATAGATACCAAAATACACACATGGATGCTACCTCTGGAGAGAGAGGTGGAAAGAAGAATGATTTTTAATTGTTTATACAAATCTAAATATATTACAGTAAGAGAATACTTCTATAGTACTGGTATAATTTACAATACACCTGAAAGAATTAAAAAAAAAAGATTCAGCCCTGGGTAGTGTGGCTCAGTGGATTGAATACCGGCCTGTGAACCAAAAGGTCGCAGGTTCGGTTCCCAGTCAGGGCACATGCCTGGGTTGTGGGCCAGGTCCCCAGTTGGGGGCATTTGAGAGGCAACCTATCGATATATCTATTGCACATCGATGTTTCTCTCCCTCTCTTCCTCCCTCCCTTCCTGTCTCTATAAATTTAAAAAAAGTAAATAAAAAAGATTCAATTCTAGCCCAGCCAAGTGAAGAGGTGAGAGGGAAAGGAAAAAAAAAAGTATTTTGTGGAACAAAATAGTTAAGCTGACTTGATATCTAGAGCAATTTTCTACATGCTCAAAGATTCTATATTCCCCCCTTTTCTATTTTATTGAAATTATTTAAAGACTTGATTCACTGATCAGTTTTTAGGTACCAAGCAAAGATGTTTTTTGAATTTTAAGTTTACTTCTGTGTCTATTAACACCAATTCCAGTTTCTCAGGTGAAATTTTATAGATTTTATCAAGATGTTTTGATTATTTTATCACTTTTTACTTAATGGTAAATTGGTACAGTTTTAAGCTAACCAAATCCTGGCAAACCACTGTAAGGATCACAATTGTGGAGATTAAAATAAAACAACAGGGCCAAAACACATTTTCTAGAGATAAAAAGTATTCTGCTTTGATGCCTAGCATACAATATATTCTTGATCAATGTTCTAACAGTGGATAATGTACCTCAATGAACTGCTAGAACCTTCAATGGGATATATTTAAAGCTGAATTCGACATATAGTCCCCATATCAAATATGGTTATGCTTCTGTTTATTGCTCCTTTTTAATTACTGGTACTTCTATCTTTCCACTTATCCAGATTCAAACCCTGGCTCATCTCTTCATTCAATTAGTTGCTGATTCCACCCCTCTGCGGTTATTTCTCTGCATATATTTTTATTTATTTATTTTTTAGAGAAAGGGGAAGGAGAGAGAGAGAGAAAAACATTGACTGGTTGCTTCTTGCATACCCTCAACTGGGGACCTGACCCACAACCCAGGCATGTACTCTGACCGGGAATTGAACTGGTGACCTTTTTGTTTGCAGGCTCTTGCTCAACCCACTAAGCCACACCAGCCAGGGCTGCAGTATTTCTTACATCAGTCCTTTATTTTCCATTCCTTAGTACCACTATCTTAGATGAAATGTCATGTCCTACTATTGATATTTGAATTATTTTTTCCTTGCTTTTTTATGCCTTTCATTTTTTCTTCTCTAACCCAATCTACATACCACTGCCAAATGAGTCCCCCAATTCCATTTGTATTCCTCAGGTACAAAAGGTTAATCACACTCTTCAGTTTATGGTACATTATCATCATTCATCTGTGTAACACCCCTCCTCTAACTGATATCTGTCCTTCCAAATTCATTTCTTATCCTCAAACCCATTTCCAACAAGTTGTTTCTTCTGCTGTGTTGAATATCCTTGTTTGTATATATTCCTACCTTTACCCTCTGCACTAGGTTTGCGAAAACAAGTAAGTTGCTGTGGGATACTTAGTTGTTTGATTGATGCAAAGTACTCCACATGTTGTCTACTCACTGCCAGCTACCAAAAACAATGCTACCAGGAAGTACCTCATTGCATGGACCTCTATGAACCTGCGTGAGAATTAATCTCTGGTCATATTCCCAGAAACAGAACTATTAGATCCAAGTGAGTTTTATCAACTATGAATGATTTATCAACTATGAATTATTATCAACTACGAGGAACTGCTAAACTGCTTTCCATAGTGGCTGAACTAATCTATACTCCTGGAGACTCCTATTTTGCTATATCCCAGACAAGATTTGGCATTATCCAATTTTGCTTTCTTATTTTTGCTAGCCTAGTGGGTAAAACTAAAGGCTTGTTTTAATTCAGGCTTTTCTTATTAAAATGAATTTGAGCATTCCTTCATGTTATCTGTTTCTTCTTTTGTGAATTCCCTATTTGTTTCCTTTGCTCTTTTTCTGTTTGGGTCTCAGTCTTCTTGTTGAATTAAAGTAGTTTCTTTGATATTCTCAATATTAATTCATTAACAGATTTAGTTATTGCAAATATCTTCCCCAAAACATTACCTGCTTATAAACAAGATTCATGTATTTGTTGAAATGAAATTCTTACTATTGTATCAAATTAATAATTATTTTCACCTTATGGTTTCATGCTTTTGAGGGTTTCGGAAATACTTTCCTAATACTACATCACAAAGATGCATTAAGTTTTATTAACCTTATGGTTTTATATACATTATTTTGGTCATTAATCTGTCTGAGGCCCTTCTTTATTATAAACAGTGTTATGTAAGGACTCAATTTTATTTTTCCCCTTACTGTGAGCCAGTTCTCTCATACCATCTACTGAACAGTCTATAATAACTGATCAATTTATAATTCTATTTCTATAATTTTTAAAATTTATCTTATTGATTATTCTATTACAGCTGTGCCAATTATCCCCTCTTTGTCCCCCTCTACCCAGTACCTCCTATTTCCTCTAGCAATCCCCCTACTTAGTTCATGTCCATGGGTCATGCACACAAGTTGTTTAGCTATTCCATTTCCTATACTGTTTTTACCATTTCCCTTTCTATTCTGTACCCACCAATTTGTACTTCTTAATCCCTGCATCTTTCCCCTTTCCCCCTCCCAAATGATAACCCTCCAAATGATCTCCATATCTATGATTCTGTTTCTGTTCTGCTTGTTTGCTTAGTTTGTTATTTGGATTAATTATTGATAGTTGTAAATTTACTGCCAGTTTAATGTTCATTGTTTTGATCTCCTTTTTCTTATATTATTCCCTTTCATGTTTCATATGATAATGGCTCGGTGATGATGAACTCCTTAGTTTTACCTTGTCTGGGAAGCACTTTATATGACCTTCAATTCTCAATGATAGCTTTGCTAGATAGAGTAATCTAGGTTGTTGGTGCTTGCTTTTCATTACTATGAATACTTCTTCCCAGTCTCTTCTAGTTTGCAAACTTCCTTTCAAGAAATCACCTGACAGTCTCATGGGAACTCCTTTGCAGGTAACTATCTGTTTTTGTTTTTCTCTTGCTGTGTTTAAGATTCTCTACCTAACTTTAACTTTTGGCACTTTAATCATGATGTGGTCCTCTTTGGGTCCTTCTTGTTGGGGACTCTCTGTGCTTCCTGGATTTGTATATCTATTTCCTTCACCAAATTAGGAAAGTTTTCTTTCACTATTTTTTCAAGTAAGTTTTCAATTTCTTGGTCTTCCTCTTCCCTTCTGGTACCCCTATGATTTAGATGCTGGTATGTTTATTTACTTATTTTTTAAAAGATTTTATTTACTTATTTTTAGAGAGAGGATAGGAGGGAGAAAGAGGAAGAGAAACATCAGTGTGTGGTCACCTTCCACACACTCCCAACTGGGCACCCAGCTCACAACCCAGGCATGTGCCCTCAGAATCAAACCAGTGACCCTCTGGTTTGCAGGCCGGCACTCAATCCACTGAGCCACACCAGCCAGGGCTAGATGTTGGTATGTTTAAAGATGCCAAGAGGTTTGTAAGCCTATCTTCATTTATTTGAATTTTTTTTTCTTCCTGCTGCTCTGATTGAATGCTTTTTCCTTGTGTTCTAAATTGTTGATTCGATTCTTGGCTTTGTCCCCTCCACTGTTGGTTTCCTGTATATTTTTCTTTATTGTACTTAATGCAACCTACACTTTGGCCTAGGTCTTTTGTATGCTGCTAAAGTACCCTGAGTTCCCTGAGCATCCTAATAACCAGTGTTTTGAATTCTGCATCTGATAGATTGCTTACCTCTATTTTGTTTATTTCTTTTTCTGGAGTTTTGTTCTGTTCTTTCATTTGGGCCATGTTTCTTTGCCTGCTCATTTTGGCAGCCTCCCTGTGTTTGTTTCTAGGTATTGAGTAGAGCTGCTTTGACTCTCTGTCTTACAGTGTGGCCTATTGTAAAAAAGTGCACCCATAAGTTGGATGGGAAGGAGCCTTAGGTAATCTCCAGGGCAGGACAACCCGTGTGAACCAGGCTGATAAGAGTCTCAGATATGGTGTTGCTGCTCTGTGAAAGGGACAATGGCCACTACCTGGCCTCTGGAGTTTTGTCTGAGAGGAAGCTGTTCTC